GTGTAAGAATAAATCAAACATTTAGGTATTAAATAGTAACAATAAAACTTTTAGAAAATGACATAATAAGTTTATTTATAATCTTGGAAGAGGGAAGTTCTTTTGAAGCAGGACACAAAACCTAGAAGTTCTACAAGAAAAGATTGATTACGTTTTAGCATATAATACTTGAAAAATTATGTATGGAAAAAAAATGCCATTAACAAAGTCTTAAGATACATGTTACTAAGGAAAAATTTTCAATATATATCACAGACAAGGGTTTCATTTCTTAATTTAATAGGAATTCATATAAATCAATAACAGAAATTGACAAGTGTTTTTTAAAAAGATGCTCAATCTCGCTAAATAATTAAATGAGATACTGTCAACTCTTTAGAAAGACAAATATTTTAAAGGTGATGACACCCATTGTTGCTCAGGAAATAGAGAAAAAGGCATGAACCAGGATTGTTGAAAAAATGATAAACGAATACAAACTATTGGAAGTCAATTGGGTAATATCTGTTAAAATAGAAGATGCATGTACCTTTGATCCAGCAATTTCTCTGCTAGTAATTTATTCTCCCATGAATTTACAAAGGTTTACCAAGAATCATAACCACACATAGCTGTCAGTTGCAGCATTGGTGATATCAGAAAAAAGGAAAGGAAGAAAAAACTGGAAGCAGCCTGTGTTAATCAATAAAAGATTAGTTAAGGATATTGATATGATTGACTGCTATTTACAATGCTTCCTATAAAAGATGTTTCTGACATGGCAAATGTTCATGATATAATATTAACTGGAAAATTCAAAAAGTAGCTCACAAAATAACATTTGCAGTATGATTCTATTTTTAGAAAAAAAAATAGATATGCATAGTATTTCCACATTGAAAAAAATCAGAATCTAAAGTATATATGCTTTTCTGTAATTTATACATTTTCTAAGTGCATATACATCATTTTTATAAACAGAAAAATTACCTAAAAAGTTTTTAACTTTTCATAGAAAAGTAAAAGGCAATCAAACAATCTGTGCCCTTGTATGCTCTATATTGAGCAATAAACACTAACTAGAGTCCATGTCATAGAGGTTTCATAAGAATTAATGATTAACTGAATTTAAATCATTGAAAGGCTACAGCTAAAATAATGAAAGAAAACTCTGTTTAGGATTTGGCGGTTGGAATAAGGTTACTTCTACTCATTCCAACCCACTCAACTAGTTCTATTTGCATTGCTTCATTCATCAAATGCTGTCACTCAATGTTGCTTAATCCAAGTGTGTGTATATAGAGAGAGAGTTAGAATATAACTGCACCAACTACTACCAGTGTTAACAACAGGAAACCTCATCAGTTAAGACAAGCCTTTCACATTTATAACTTAGGTGAGTATCATAACCTGTGTGCAAGAATATTTACCATAAGTTATTGGAAAAGCAGCACAAAAGAACCAATGATGTTTATATTGTCATATATTCTGAAATATTTCTGATTTAAAAGTAGGAGAGAAAAGAGTGAATTTTAAGTCTGAAAAAATGGTGAAAGGAGTGATCATATTTTTCAAGGTAAAAGATTTGTGGGTTGTTTAAAAAGAATGCTTCGCTTTCTAGAATAAGATTTGAAAATACTTCCTATGTTTTTGACTTGTGATTCTTAAAAAATAGCCAACTTTCTCTGTGTCAATGACTCCATTGTGAATGTGGTATTTCAGTTTCTTATCTACATTGCCTAACCCTTCAAGCTAATGTCGGTTTAGAGCAGAGTTCCTCCAAGTGTGTTCTTTTAAACTAGTCCATAGGGGTGTTAATATAGAGGAGGTGGGGGAGGTTATGAGATCAAATAATTACTGAAAATAGTTAAACAAAGGTACCCACGATTCTTGAATGAAGGACTGTCAACACCTCTACTACGCTAATGTGAGTTCTCACTTTCCAAGAGGTAGAATGTAGATTGGAACATTTCCCAGATTTATTTGAAAATGAAACTTTGTTTGTTTGTTTGTTTGTTTGTTTAAAGTCCATCAAGGAGAATTTTCTTCTAGAACATAAGATTCCTTGAATAAAAGAGAAAACAAACAAACAAAAAATCCAGCAATGCAATTTTCATGTTATCAGTATTACCTGAACACCTACTGTGTGCAGGGTACTATTTGAATTATTTTCTGTACAATTTAAAATTTAACTACAGTAAGGTTAACTAACTGTATTATTCTACATGCTATTATTACAAATTAACTACCATATTAAAAATTTTATTATTTCAAAAATAATTGGACAACTGGCTGAACATTTGAAGTTTAATTCCCAGTTGATTATTTTTTTCCTACATTTAGATGGGGGAGGAGAGGTGATAGGGTGGGGAAGCTCTGGTATGCAGATGAAAGTCAGGAGATTAAATTCTGTTCCCAGTTCTACTTTTGTGATCCTGAGCAAGGCACTTAATCTTTCAGTCTTTGCCTGCTCAGCTTTAAAGTTAGGAGCTCAGTAAAATGATGTCTAAGGTTCTCTGCTTCTAAGTGTTCTTGATCAGTAAAGGTGGAAGAATCAGAGGAAGACTATAAGGAATGATGTGACATTCTAAAGCTCTGTGAGGATAATATTCACTCCTTAGGAGCAGAAGAAGGAGTCTTCAACTGTTTTACCATTGAAGGATTTTGCTCACGAGACAGGCTGTACATAGGATGGCTGCATGTAAAATTCCAGTTCAATCTAAAAAAGAAAATTTGGAATCTCAGCCTATTTAGGGTTGTCCAGGGGCAAAAATAAAAATACATGAAGTTTATCTTCCAGTGAGTCCTCTAACCCAGGAGCTCCTTCCTTACCTTGCTAAAAGAACTGATCAATGTGAAGTTAATAAGATATTTAATCAATTTCTCATTTAGAAAAAAAAAGTATCAATTTAATTTTATATAAACATGCTCTTGGAGGCTGAAGTAAATCTAACTGGTTTTCAGTGTGAAAATAAATACAAAAACTGTTCTTGGAGTTATTTCTCAACAACAATTTGTCTCTAATTCTAATATAACAGAAAGGTATATATAAATCAGATTTATCAAATGAATTTTCGGCTAACAACTGTTCGAGAACAATGTTAACTTCATGTGTAGGAATGCTACATTTTCTGGGATTTGACATTTTCTGCGATAGAGAATTACTATATTTTGTAAACAGAAATACCACTATTAAAAATAGAATGCTATAAATACAATGAAGTCACTTGTTTCTAAAGACTATCAATATACTAGAGCGATGCAAAAATAAAAGTAAAAGTGAGATATTTCGTGGCAGACTTTGGGGGTAAGTTATCTTGTGGTAAATGCTGCAGCTGCAAGCGCTACCATCAAGATTCTTGGGGCAAACAGGAAATGGGTTAAATCAGTGGTCCCCTTTTTGGCACTGGGGACCGGTGCTCCTATGAGAATCTAATGCCCGATGGTCTGAGGTGGAGCCGAGAAGGTGATGCTAGCGCTGGGGAACTGCTGCAAATACTGATGAAGCTTTGTTCACTTGCCTGCCACTCGTCTCCTGCTGTGCAGCCCGATTCCTAACAGGCCATGGACTAGTGCAGGTCTGTGGCCCGGGGATTGGGGACCCCTGGGTTAAATGATAACCACTCCTGAGGTGATTTGGATTTTATTTTTTTAAGCATGCAAAAAGAAGGCAATGCTTAATAAAAGAAGCAGTCACCACTAATAGAATTTCAGGCAATGTCAGAGAGAATTTCTGCTTTCTGGCACAACAGGATAGTTCACATTCACTTCTACTTTCCCAGTGTATACCTAGAGTTCTGGTTCTTTTTAGTGGAGAAAGTATTTAGAAACTAAGATATAGGCACACTGATACTGCTGATTCACGTTTAACATTACAGGGATTTCCCTTGGCTTCTTTTATTTTATATTTCTACGTCCATTCCCCTACAGTGAAAATCCTATAATATCAATGTCTATTTATTTGCTCTTTCCTATAATATAACAAAAGTCTCAGAATTCCAATACCAATATTATCACTAACGATAAACCAACTGAGTAACATTTAAAATTTCTTTGCGGTTCTTTTTATCCAGTGACTATACTCCAGAATAGATATATATTCAAAATACTATGTTCAAATTTTACTAAAACAATTATTTTCTCTAAGTGCCTATGTTTTCAGTTTTATATTGAGTTAGCCACAGTTGTTTCGGTTTCTTTTCAAGATGAGACAATTGAATTAATATTCTGTTTTAATCTAACAGAAGCCTGGGAAAAGGAAGCTTGAAATGGAATATTCCACCACCAAAATTTCCCCAGGAAAGATAAACATCTCAGCAGGCCACGCCCTGTTAAAATCTCCCAGGTTGAGAAGTAAGGACTTAAGTATTTCTGATTGTTTTACACATGATCTTTTTTTTATTGGTTATCACATCTTTATTATTCCAATGTTCGTACATGATGCCTTATCAAAAGTTACTAAGATTACATGAACTGCAATAAAAAGGGATGGCTCATAAGTATGTAATCAGCAGCCTTTGGTTTTAAACACTACATATAGCCAACTTTTGCTTATTTGATGCATCACAGGACACGAATGGCTCAGATAATTTAAAGCTGCTAATACTGATAAACATAATGATAGCCCTTTATGTCAATCACTTCTTTCTACCCACATCTCCTGCCACCAAATCCCAAAATCTTTTCCCAGATTAACTAACAAAATTAAACTGATCCATTTTCATTCAACAAACATTTATTAAGATGTTTAGTGTATCAAGCTTATGGTCTTAACTTGTAATTTCTGATAAAGGAGAGAATAACAAGTGAAGATATTTGAATAATTCAGCCCCCAAATAAAGCAGAATTGACTAAATGATGCTCAAGTCAATCCAGCTGCAAACTCAAAGGGTTTGGAGTAAGTTGAAAGGTAAATAAAGTCAGACAGTATCCATAGCTTTAAGATGAAAGGGTTATCTACCACTTTGATCTTTATATTATCTATCCTAGGAAAGAATTATGCAAATTTATACTCATGTTTTAATACAGGAGCAGTTGCACAAAAGAGTTAACAGATCCCTGGTGGACTAGAGCAAAAACAGAAGATAAGGAATGACAGTGGAAACTGCATGTCCTTGTTCTATGAGCTCCTTTTCATTTCCTGGAACATCTTTAAGGCTAAAGGAGAAAGCAGTGTTAAAGTGTATTATTTCTGTCCTCCCTAAGTCTCCAGGCCACTCACGCCACGCTGTTTGTTAGTGAAACCAGGGAAAACAATGATTTGACTGTGGTTTCTGAATGGCCCGGAAATCACAGTTAAGTTAGTCTTTTTATTTGAGTCTGATTCAAAATGCTCTATGCAAACACAGTGAATAGGTGGAAATGACTCTGCATCCTCAAATTCTCTCTTACTAAAAAGGATGTACTTTCTTTGTTCCTCTGGAAATGTGGGCTTTTTAAGATACTGGAATAAGGAGCAGGCTGGAGTTTATACCAATAAACTGGCATTGATGCAAAAATTAAAATGTAACTCCTCTTTTAAGGGTACAGTGGCTTATTTGTACCATTTAGGAAAACAGTGATAAAGATAACTCCCAAATCACTAATATGACTTTGGAATGCATCACAGTGTTTTTATTGTCTCTTAGCAGATCTCCCTTTTCAATACTATTAGCTCAGTTTAATACTAACATTGGCATTATTTAAACAGTCCTGGCCAAAAATTCAATAGGTAGCTGTGAGGTGTGTGGCTTCTTAAAACTCAAAGTGCAAGAAATGTCACTTCGTATTTTTCTAAATAAACTATTCTGAGCCCCCAAGCAAGAAAACGAGAAAGCTCATCGGGCTAGCAGTATTGGACACAATCCACAGCTCACAAAGCCACAAAACTCACTATCTAACCACTACAGGTGTCCATATAGTCAAGGACCCCTATGAGTTTTGGTCACCACCAAGGCATTTTACCTTTTGTACCAACAGAGTATACAGAACTTCATGAGCTAGAGAAAAGCACCATCCCCTTCTCAGTTTCTAGGAAGCTATTCCCCAGGGATAGGTCATTCTCCCCTGCTACTTCCTCTCTCCCACATCCATCAACCCTTTCCCTTTCCTGACAATCCAGCTTCTTTATCCATATATAGCCAGAGATCACAATTTGGGAGACTTGAGAAGGATCCATCCAGCAGAAGTATTTTATTTGGCCTAAACAGTGTTATTAATAATGTTTTTTAATTGAGGCAACAATTGAAAATTAGGATATTTTGCATAAAAACCTGAATGTATGATTTTTCTCAAAAAATCTGAAGATCTAGCAACACTGGGCTCATATCCCTGCGTGGCAATACTTAGGGATCGAAGTGAGTAGAGATCACACCCTTCAGTTTGGGTCTGTCCATGGAAAATCTTCTGTTACAGAAAGGAGCTTTGACTTTATCCTGTGGACAGTAGGAAACCATTGAAAATGTTTAATTGGGGGAATTACATGATATTTTTATTTTAGAGAGATCACATTGATGGTGATGTAAAGAGTAGAAACAGAAACTGGTGAGAAGTCTACCACATTCATCCAGGGAACTGATTATGAGGGTATGACCTAAGACAACAGAAAGGAAAGGACAGACTAAATTTCAGATACATTCAGAAGGTGAAATTATTAAGATTTAATGACGGATTGAATAAATTGAGGGATGGAGAAAGAGGAAAAACTGGATGACTCTCAACTTTCTAATTTAAGAATTGAGCAGACAATGGTAGATAGTGGTACTGTTTTTCAAGAGAGGGAATTCAGGAAGAATATATTAGTGGTAAGAAAAGATAAAGTTTATAAATTATAAGTATATTTGAATTTGGAGGAGGTGTAGGTCATCCAGGTAAAGATGCCCAGAATTCAGGAGGCTCTACAGAGACAGAGACAGAAATTTTAAGGTAGCTGAGTCAAAATGCTTGTGGAGAAAGAGCAACATATGTAAAGCTCAGGGAAGAGACTAAAGGTAGAGTTATAGTTTGGGGAGTCATTAGCATATAAAAGACTTAGGTCAAGCAAGATTGCTCAGAAAGTCTAGAGTGAGAGGAAAAAGTAAAGGGCAAAGTCCTGAGAAACACCATTTTAGGAGCAGGCAAAGGAAGAAGAACTAACAAAGGGACGGAGATTAAACAAGGAGAACCTAAGGACTGGCGACATGACAGTAAGGGTTCAAATAAGGATGTGGTCCCCAAAATCAAATGTCACAGACAGATCAAGGGTAGTAAGCAGTGAGAAGACACCTTGGTGAAATAAGTGTTTGGGGAGAGACTGAGCGGCAAGGCCCAGCTCCCTGAAAGAACAGTAACCAACCCCTGTGGCTCATCACCATGCCCTCTGACTTGGCCAAGAAGAAGGCAGCCAAAAAGAGGGAAGCTGCCAAAGCACAAGAGAGCCCAGAAAAAGACGTGAGGAAGACAGAGATGCTCTCAGAGAACCACAGGTGGCAGAAGAGAAAAATGACGCGGTCAATGGCCAAGACCAGAGAAGTAGATTTGCTGACCAAGGAGCTAGAGGACTTTGAGATGAAGACAGCTCAAGCCGTCACTGGCATTCTTGTCTCTCACTCTAGTAGTACTGATGTCCACATTATCAACCTCTCCCTCACCTTTCTTGGTGAAGAGCTGCTCAGTGACACCAAACTGTTAAGTAAATTCAGGCCATCATTATGGCCTCATTGGCCTAAATGGAATTGGAAGTCAATGCTGCTCTCTGTCTGCTACTAGGAAACGTGAAGTACCCATCCATCCCTAAGCACATTGACATCTGCCACCTGACTCACGGATGCCCCCTAGTGACAAGACACCCTTGCAGTATGTGATGGAAGTAGACACAGAGTGTGCCATGCTGGAGAGGGAGACTGAGCAGCTGGCTCATGAGGATGCCAATTGTGAGGAGCTCACAGAACTCTATGAGCATCTGGAGGAGCTGGATGATGACAAGGTAGAGCTGAAAGCCTCAGGGATCTTGCATGACTGGGTTGCACACTTGCTAAGCAGCACAGAAATTAAAAGAATGGCATCCGTACCAATATCATTCGCATGCACGAGAAACTGAAGTATTATATGGATAATTATAATCAGTATGCGAAGACATGGCTAGAGCTGGAGGAGAACCAGATGAAGAGGTTTCACTGGGAACAAGATCATATCACACACGAAGAATTACATTGCTAGGTTTGGTCGTGGCAGTGCTAAACTGTCGCAGCAGGTCCAGAGCAAGGAGAAGACGCTACAGAAAATGATGGCATCAGGACTGACAGAGAGGGACACGAATGATAAGACACTGTCATTTTATTTCCCACCATATGGCTAGATCCCTCCACCTGTCATTATGGTGCAGAATGTGAGCTTCAAGTATCTACAACAAACTAGAATTTGGTATCGAGCTTCACATACGAATGGCTTAATGAGGCCCAATGGAGCAGGGAATTTGACTCTTCTGAAACTGCTAACTAGAGAGCTACTACCCATAAACAGGATAATCCAAAAACACTCTCATGTCAAGATAAGGCATTACAATTAGCATTTATAAGAGCAGCTAGACTTAGACCTCTCACCTTTGGAGCACATGATAGAGTGCCACTCAGAGATCAAGGAGAAGGAAGAAATGAGGAAGATCATGAGTAATATGTTCTCACTGGGAAACAGTAGGTGAGCCCAATCTGAAACCTATCTGATGTGCAGAAGTGCCAAGTGTATCTACCCTGGCTAGCCTGGCAGAACCCCCACGTATTCTTCCTGGACAAGCCTGCTAATCACCTGGATATTAAGACCATTGACACCTTGGCAGATGCCATCGGTGTGTTTGAGGGTGGTATGATGCTGGTCAGCCATAATTTCAGACTTTGTGCTTTCCTCCTAAGAATACAATCCTCATGCCACACTTCCAGCTGCCCTGAATACCAAAGTATTTTTTCTTCCAAATACTCCCATTGTAAAATATCTTTAATATTTCAACTGCAGACAACCCCTAATGAATTATACCCAATGTTTGTCCCACTAGATGATAGCCTGTACATCCATATTTTAGCCCATTTCTTCTTTTACATTCATAATTCTTCCTCAGTATCATGACACTCACTTTTAACTCCTCAAGACTCATATCCTGCTTCCCACAGAGCCCACTCTCAATATTAGACATGTCTGTCATGTCTCCATGGGATATTGATAAGCAGCATATATGAGCATGCTTACAGTATCATCTTATGCCTTTTAGCTCTGAAGAGAGAATATGACACAGTTAATAAAATATTGTATTAGTTGTCAGGAGACCAAGTTCAGTGCTGGCTCTGGCACAGCTATGCAATTATCTTTGTAACTATAAAAGCACTATATAAATGTGAGATACCATCGTTGATATTTCTGAATTGTGAAGCAATGTTAGGGAGTTCCAAGGTGGATGTAAGTATAATTAAGTGGTCTTGCCCTGTTCAAATAATTGAAGATACTTAAAGGTAGATGCTCATCTAAATTGGAGTTACAATATAGATAACTCAAAATAGTAGCTTACAAATGTTTATTCCACTTGACTTTGAAAAGCATACTAGAAATCTTCTGGAGAAAAAAAGAAGATATAGAATGGATCCAAAAGTCATAAGTAATTATTTTTATTTTCTGAATTACTGTGAATAATTGAAATTTGGTTATATTATACAAATTGCTTGATAATTCATTTACTATAATGTTAAAAGTTGAGATCCTATGACTCTGTGTTACAACTTTCTTTTCTATTTGATTCTGAAAGGCTTTTTATGATTTCCAAGTAGCGAATTTAATTTCTTACTTGAGACTTTAATTTTTCTTTGGCTAATTGAAATTAGAATTACTGAATAATTGATTAAATTTTTTACTTCAACCAATTTGAGTTTGCATTTTGTTAGTCCCTAAAATTACACTTTAGTATTTTCTTAGATGGAGGTAGATGGAAAAAGTAGCTATGATATTAGACACACTTGAGTCACAACTTCTCACCAGACTTGTAACCTTTGGCAAATGACTATTAAGAGCCTCAAGTCATCATCAGTATATTGAGATTCAGTCTTTCCTTGCTATATTATTGTGAAGAATTAAGTGAAATAGTATGTAAAATTATTAGCATAGCAGTTGGCCCACTGTAAATGACAGCTATTTTTAAAATTGATAACCTTTATAGACTACAGCTATCCCTCCAAAATTAACAAAACTGTATTCTAGATAAGTAGAAAAGATTACAGACTTCACGCGAACATAAGAGTTGCTCCTCGGTTAGGCAAAGATTGATATATGTTGGATGTAGATCTACATTCCTTTATATGGAGTTCTAAAAACCAAAAAGTTTTCTAAAGATCTAAAATTTTTTATAACATTTAGCAGTATATGTTCTACATGACAATTCTAAAATCTAAAAAACTCTGAATTTTGTAACACAACTGGCTCCAAGGTTTCTGATAAGATACTGTGAACTTATAATTGCTTTCTTAGTCTTCTACACTCAGGGTTTTTTAAAGGATAAAGATGGATGGAATTAAAAAGTATCACTATTTTTTTCATTGTTTAGAATTCCAACAGAAGCCTGAAGAAGCTTGCACGATGTACTTTATGCAGCTACGCTCCGGCCTTATCATAAAAAAGGCCTGTTACTTTAAGAAAGAAACCACCCAAAGACATTCACTAAAAACAAGTAAGGGGAAACTATATTTCTTGGCAATTCTTCCATATAGTGATGGATATGTATTTGCTTTCAGTTACCACATCTAGGTATACAATTTTTTCCCTCACCCAAATTTTCCTTCTGGAAAAGAGTAAAGATGATAAACTATTTTAGCCATTTTTAAAAAGGCATATAAAGAGTTTTTAATAGCATAGGAGAATGGTTATGTTATAATGTTAAGTAAAAACAGAGGATATAAAATTATATATACAGACATACCTTGGAGATGTTATGAGTTTGGTTCCAAACCACTGCAATAAAGCAAGTATCGCAATAAAGTGAGTCGTAATATTTTTGCTGGTGGAGGGTCCTGCCATCAGTTTGTAAAAAATGCAACATCTGTGAAGCACAATAAAGCAAAGTATAATAAAGTGAGGTATGCCTGTATATTTGCAATATCTTTTAAGTGATTATTTTTTTCATTTAAAGAAAGTAAACTAAAATGTTAATAGTTGTTGCCTTTTGGGTGTTGAGACCGTAGGATGACTACTTTTCTTTCAACTGGACTAATGGGTGTGCCTTTCTGGGGTGTAAGTGTGCCAGGAGGTACTGATCCCTTGAGGCCATGGGGTGGCCAAAGCCCTGGGGCCAGTCACCACTGTCAGCAAGCAGCCTTGACTGGGAATCCTCAAAGCCGGGGTGGGGATGGCAGGTGGGGACGGGGTCTAGGCAGAGTGGGGACTGACAGTTCACTTCTACCTCCACCCCTGTCCTGCAGCTAGAAAGTACAAAAAGCAACATTTGTTATGCACCACCTGTGCGCAGCACCTAGAACAGTCTGCAGAGAGCTTCGCCTTTGGTATACCTATGGTCCAGCGATGTGCTACAGCAATCAATAGGTCAAGTATCCAAGGTGTGACTGGTCACAGGGGTGGTGTGGGGGTAAAAAGGGAGGTAAGACACAGGACTCTGGCAAGTGCCACTCCAGGAAGCAGCCATAAGTCTGTGTCTTCCTGTATATCAGAAACTTCTGTCCATTTGCTGCTGATATGCCCATTTGGTGGTTGCCAAAATATGTGCAAGGTAGCTACTGTAATAATGATTGTGCATTCTAAAGTTAATACACCATTATTATTCTGAAATGCTTGCTATGGATAGGACACATTGTTCCTGAGGAAATATATTATCCTTTGAGAGGGAACTCATTATCCCCCCAAATTTCAACATTTTGACAATGAAAGAAAAGGAAGAGCTATTATATTTTTAAAGTATAATTTGACTCAAACATTTTAAATAGCTGTGAAAATGGTTTTAAATTGCAACACCTACTTGTGCAAATAAAGTCCAAGTTGATGGTGACTATCAACAAGTGAAGAGATCATTAAGAAAACTTCACCGGGAGTTGCATGTTGTCATTTCAAGCATTATTTCTGATATAAATGTCTTAGGTCCCCAGAAGCATACTGAAATTCCTAAGTATTTTTAAATAATTTTATTTTAAAATTTCATATACAAATTTAGTATTTATCATTCTCCTTAATATTTGTATATTTTTCTTAGCATAATTCTAAAATATAAAGAAAATATAATTTTTTTCTCCAGGACTCAGATAAGTAGTCCCTAAATCTACTCTAGTTTACCCCAGCATGCCATAGAAATATCATTATCTTCTATGTGTGCCAGGAAATTAAAAAAAAAAAAAAAGTTGGGAGTACTGCTTTAAGTGTCTCTGTTATTTAGCCAGAGGACAGAATGAGGCTCACATCTGTATTCTCCAGGAATGTTGGAAGTCTCTGTGTAACTCCACACCTTACAGATGGGTGTTCATTTATCCATGTCTATTTAAATACAGTTTCTTCTTACTTACAATCCCCACAATAGTTTGGAGGTTTCCTCAGGCAATGATTGTCACTTTTCCAGCTTTATTTTCCCCACCAAAACCTCCCATAAACACACTAACATGGCCTCCTTTTGCTTTCATGTAGGAAACTAGCTTCTTTAATCCCATTCAGGTGGCATACTTCAGCCTTTGAGCTATGCTACATCTCTACAACGGTGATGAACAAAGTGCAACTCAATTGAAAAGAAAAAGAAAAGAAAAGAAAAAAACCTTTGAGAAGGCACTTTTTAAAAATTGTTAAAAAATTGTTCATGAGAACAAGTTTTTGAATACTTAATGACAAGATTTTCACTTGTTACAGAACGTCCTGTTTCCCTGAGCACATACAATGATCAATCCATTAATTTTGCTTTTGTGGGTGAAGGTTATGAGATCTCTGTTGAAGATATAGGGAAAAAACAAAATAAAGGTAAAATATTTCCTTTTGTCTATAATAATATAATGATGACTAGTAAGTAAAAAATAGATTTACCAAACTATAAATAATGGATTAACTCAGACATAGCAAATAATTTTCATGTTGTGTGCTAACTGATGCATTGGCAATGGATGCTTGAATATCACTGTGTTGAGGGTGATTCAGAAGCTTAGTTAGGGTTCATCAGGGAAGAATGCTGATACTGAGAAGTGGTATCTGTTGTGAAAGATGGAAGAGGGGACCATACATATTTGATATTGCTAAATTACCTATTAGATCTTCCCAGTCTTATCAATGTCACCAAAGTAAAACCTCTAGTAAAAGAATATACCAGTGATATAAACAATATTTTAAATATTTTAATAACAATTGTACTGGAGAATTCATTAGGCCATATTTATATATTTTACGACCTTTCTCAAAACCACTAAAGTTTTGCTTTTGTTGCTATATAAGAGGGTATTTTCTCATACTATGTATAGGTTGGAACTGAATAAATCACCAAAACGATTTTATACACTCTCTTTCAGGCAAGGTGTTATTCCGTTACTATGATTCGCCATCCCCCACAATGGAAACAGGTAATTTGGAGGTCTGGGTAGCTGTAATACTTGAATTCTTAAATTTGGGTGAAGACATACAAAAATGCTCCATGGGAAAGGAAGGTAATCTCCAGCCCTAACTCTTAGAGGATTTACTCCATATCATCCATTTTGCAATTTAATAGGATAAAGATTTGGCTACATTTAACAGAGATCCAGAATAATAGGGCCTCGAGCTACAGAAAATTTTATTTTTTAGTCAGGGCTGGAATGGCAGCTCTGTTCAACAAGTAGTCAAGTAATCCACCTCCTTCTCTCTCTGTGGCTCTGCCAACATCTATATGGTTCAAGATTACCACCATGACAATGTCCAATTGGCAGGACAGAGGAAGATGGGTACATGAATTCTCTTTCCTTTTAAGGATATAACCTGGAAGTTGTACCTGATACTTCTACTTGCCTCATATTGGTCATATTGCTACAATTAGCTGCAAAAAAAAGGGGTGGGGGGAGCAGGCTGGGAAATATTCTATGATTACACAAGATGAGGAGTTGAATATGGGGGACAACTATCAGAGGCTTTACATGCAGACAGGGAAGCTGACACCCAGAGAAATACTCATTAGAGTCACAATTCTATAGTTAGAAAGCATATAAGAAAAACTACCCTCTCTTCTTCGAGGAGCTTAGAATTATCTCCTACTTGTTAAATGACTCTTTAGTTTCATTTGAGTGCAAATATTTCTAAGAGACATATTGCTGAATGTAGTGATTATTTTACATGACTTCTTAGACTCTTTTCCTGAGTGTTAAATTCATTTAAATTAAAATGTGCGACAGTTCTTAACTTTATAATTTATATATCTGTAATTGCAAGGTGATGATGTCGATGGTCATGGATTAACGGTAAGCCTGAGTCCTACAAATGACAAAGACTTCTTGCTGCATGCCAACAACCAGGAGTACTCTGTGGAGGTAACAGAAATATGCACTTAACTATCACGATTAATGCCACTCATTTATGCAGATTGGGGTGTTTGAGGTAATTTGAAGAAGTAGTTTTGTTTCTGTTATTGTGTGTAAAACACAACCAATAATTACTAATAATTTGCTTCTGGAGTAGGAAAGGGAGGGAAATGGCATGTATAGCCTTGCTACTTAAAGTCTGGTCTCTGCCAGCAGTACAGCATTACCTGGAAGCTTGTTAAAAATGCAGAATTTCAGGCTCCCTCACAACTGAATCAGAATCATCATTTTAACAAATCTCCAGGAGACTCATATGCACATTAAAGTTTGAGAAGCACTGCTATATAGAATGAATCTCTCAAATCCTTCCTATTTCTCTTTAGGAACTACTCCATTATTCCAGGTAGAATTTCTTTGTAAAATATAGTTTTCTTAGGCAAATGCAAAAATATTTTTACACTCTGAGTCTGCTAAAGGGAAGGTCATTAATGTTTCCATATGCCAAAATTTATAGATAGCATAATAATCTACATTCTAATCATAGGATTCACTTCATAGTCTTCTTCAGTTAGTAAGTAGCAGTATTATATTGGTCATGATAAAGAATTATAAATATCCTGAGGAACAGAGAACTCAAAGGTGGAGATGAGGAAGAAAACAGGAAAGTATAATATAGGAGATAAATCATATAAATACTCAAACTTATAAAGCTAACTCATACTACCATGCAAGGTATTAACATAAACACTGGATGGTAGTAACCAGTATCTCCCTTAACAAAACATTTTTAAGTGTATATAACAGTGCTTGGTATATATAAGTACTCAATAATAAGAACTAATCCATACTGAGCTCTATTATATACCAAGCATTGTACTAAATATTTTATAAGGACTATCATTTAACCCTCTTAATGAAGTTATTGTATTGCTCAGATAGATATTGCTGTGTAACAAACCATCCTCAACACTTACTGGCTTAAAATAATAATCATTTATATCACTCACATGTCTTTGGGTAAGTTGGGGTTGACTGATTAGAAAACTGATTAGACTAAAAACTTGAGGCTTGAGAGATAAAGCAATGTGCCCAGGTCTCAGAGATAATACACTGCAAAAGAGAGGTACAGATCCAGAACTGCTGCATCCAGATCCAGTCATTCTAAGCTATAATATCTCTCAAAGTATACTATCAGTGAATCAAATCAAATCCTCCCACTTTGACTCTCTACTTACTTTCTTCTACTACCCTCTTCCATCCTCTACTCAGTAGGCAGACTTGCTAGAAACATCAAGTTATAAATAGTTTTTCCCTTTTAGTGTCTAACACTAGGGATGTGAAGTTGACTTTGGCCTTCCCACTTACATTGTGGTTGCTTTTTCCTCTTGTTTCCTCAGCTACAAAAATGTGAAAACCCACTGCCAGACCGGATCTTCTTTCTCCTTCACAGGGAGCCCACATCTTCCGAATATGTTTCATTTGAATGTAAGAGCAATCGTGGGGTTTTTATAGGAGTAAAGGAAAACCGGCTTGCTCTAATTAAAGTAGGGGACAAAACTGAGGGTTTAAGTAGAGAGAATATCATATTTAAGCTCTCTTAAACTTAATGTGATAGAAAGCTGTGGATCCTGGATTGGGTAGCCTGAAGAAGGGATGAGAGATTTAAAAAAGAGGGACAGATAACATTTAAGGGAAATAGTTCTTAGCATACTGTGGAATGTTTTCTTTATTATGTGTAAAAACATTTTTTGTAATCCTTCATTTCTGTTTTTTATTTCCCTCTGTATTGCTGCATATTCAATACTAGTATTAGTATATTGAATATGGTATTGGTAAAGAGACCTGCCAGCATTCTGAAGAGATACAGACCTTTACTTTTTTCTGCTTTCAGTCTAGAAGGAACTTACTGTTTAGAGCTGAGACCTCTGGAGAAAAAGCAAGGGCCTTAACCCAAGTTTTATTTTAGATAGGAATCCATTTTAAAGAGCTACATAAGAACATAATTTTCCCTGGTTTCAAACAATGGGCTCAAACACTAGAGATGCTAGGAAAAACATGACCAGAGCAGATGCCTATATGGCTAGTCAGGTAATATAAATATGTGGAAAAGGCAAGGATAATTTTAAAATTAAGAGAAATAAATACAGTATTTATAAATTGAATGATTTCACCTTCTAATTTTTTAAATTCTGATTTTTATAGACTGAGTTAACTATAAGCAAGGCACTCTTACTTTAGGAAGTGAAATAAATTTTAGTTCAGACATAGAATTAGAATCATTAGAAATATCTAACAAACTAAAACATTTTTCAAAAAAGCACTGAGCCACAACATAAGTTAGAGTATCTAAGTACCCTAGTGGAGCCAAAAGTCCTCTAACCCATTAGATCTAGTTGAGACATAGGTCCAATAACTGGCTTTCCCTCATGTTTATGGCATACCATGTACTTCTGACCCAGCTTCCAGGGATTAATGGCATTTGATATACTTGTCACCTTGGACAAAATTTCTTCTAATCCTTTCTTCCTATGTGCACAAGTCTTTTCATTGGCCAGCTTCCCAATGACACTGCTTACTATAAAATATTTGTTTGATTTCTGTTCCTTCTTTATTTCTTTTGACCAACCATGTCCTTGATATACCTTTGGCACCCTGAGTTTCATTTCCATGTCACCTGACATCTGGATGCCAACACCTTTTTTCGGCTTTGTCTACCTGATGTTGTAAGATTTTACATAAACCTATCGATGGCAATATTTTTTATTAAACATCTTTGTGTTTTACTGTTACTAAGGTAGTAAAATTTATACTCAACCATGTAACATTTTCGACTACTAATGGAATAGTTTTGCTTACTTTAAGGCCTTAACAATTCCTACTATATTTTTTCATAGGCTTGACACTGACAATAAATGATAAACATAATAATAGAATACTTATGAAGTGACTTTTTCTGAAAGTATAAGCTTTTTGATTTCTAATTTGTTGAGATCTATTATATAATTACTGGTAGAACTTAAAAGAGGCTGAAAATTACTGTATAAGGGCAAACAATGGTATAACAATATATCTTTATTTCATTATTTTGTCAATAATTTTTCTATAGAGACAAAAAAGCAGAATTGATATCATCTTTGAAAAAACACTGAATGTTGACCATGTGCATTGTATGATATACTTAAAATGATTATTAAGTAACCAAATATATCCATTACATTGTTTATATTCTTGAATAAACTATTTTTCAAAAGTATGTGAGGCCATAATGATTTTATCATAAAATAATTCAACATTCTGAAATTCTAAAGCGAAAATAAGCATATCCCAATACACCAAAATTGATATTTGCAGTAGCTCATTTGTCTGATATTTTTGGTGATTCAAAACTAAGTAAGATTTTCCACAATAGAGATTGCATCTTTTTCACCTTTGTACTCGGTGCCCTCTATGATGACAAACACACAGGAGGTATTCAGTGACTTTAACCCAAGATCAAATAGCAAACATGCACCTACATGAGAACTTTAACCTGAGACTTCTGACTCCTTATTCAGATAACTTTCAACCTGGCTTATTTTCCAAATTTAATTTCCCTCTTTTTTTCTTTTTTCTTTTTTTAAATAGTCTCCACTACAACTATAGTCAGTATTGTTTGGTTAAAATATTCAAATATGTGGTGGTTTTTTGTCACTTACTTGAATATGTTTTGATGGTCCATAACACACATTACTGGAAGGAATTTTTCCATTTTATTGTACCAGAAATGACAAATATGTCAAAACTTATTTTCCCTTATTTTATTTATATTCTCCAGATTTTTATTGAATACATAAAAATATTGTCAAGAAAATTTTATTTGAATAAGTAAAGTGACTTGAAACTGGGGAATTTGGAAAGAAAACTGCTAATTTAATTAGAATGCAACACCTAATTAAAGTTTAAAAAGATTGACTCATAAGTCTTGCATCGGTGGAACAAAGTAAACCAAAAGCAAAAAAAAAATTTGACCTTTGTGCCTCATGCTCAGAAACTGTGTGGTAGACAGAAGAATCTTAAGCTGGGGTACTCTAGTGAGAGTTGAGACAGGTTTGACTCAAGATTCATTCTTCCCTCATACTATCACCTATATAGCCCAGAAATCTCCTAGCAGTTAGTCCTTAAATACATGCCATGTTTACTGGACTCTGCTAGGCACTAGGAAAACACAAAAGAAACCTAAGCTATGTTTCTTGTCCACATGAAACTTAAAACATGTACAATATGTATTAAAACTCCAACACTGCAGTACACTTTTGCACAAACATGAGAGAGATCAGTCTGAATTTCTCATTAGGAAAATAAATAGAGCTGAATTTTCTATCTCCATACCCTAGTACCCACCCCTGATTTATTCATATATCCATTCTCAAGGTCATGTTAAACAGGTTCCTTCTATAGGCGTCAGGTAAATAGGGTAAATCCAGCTGTTCCAAATCCCTTAGTAGTCAGATTTGGTGCTAGGGGTCTTAAGAATCTGAGGAATGGATGGAGGAGATGAAGGTGAAAGGTAATTGGTAGAGACAGAATCAATGATCTCTTTCCTGTTGAGGTGCCAAGATAATGAAACACTTGTCCAAGTCCAACAATCCCTAACCCAGAAGACGCTCCCATAAAGAGAATGCATGAATCACTGCCGAGTGTATTAAGAACATAAGCTTGGTTTGTTGCTTACAGTCTATGCAACTTTGGGAAATTATGTAACCTCTCTCAATCTCTATCCTTTGTAAAATGAGGAGGTGCCAAATAGTTGCTTACCTAATGTCCTTCACCAGCACACTTACTCCCTTACCATTTTGTATTGGGAAGGAATATACCCAACTAAAATATTCTCTTTCCCAGACTCCCATGCAGTTGAGGTCGTAACCACTGGACATTGTTCTGGACAATAAAATACATATAAAATAATGGTTTGAGAAAAACTTTTTTGAAGGTGACATATTTAACTAGCATGCCCTTTTTCAGTCTTTCACACTCTCCCTTTCTTCCTACCCAGATCATAGATTGTGGCTGAATGTAGAGCAGCCAACTTCTGACTATGAGGTGATAAGCACAGGGACAAAGGCCTAGACATTAAAAATGAAAAAAAAGGTGAAAGGACTCTCATGTAGTTAACAATACTGGTGTTATGCCTAAATCCCCTTGGGTTCCTTCATACTGGATCCTTTGATAATATTTCCATGTGTACCATATACCCGTACCACCACCAACCCTATCATCTTCTGGGTGTTTTCAATATCTAGCACTTGCAGGTCTTCTCACGAGGATTGCTCTTATGATATTGATAATTCTTTGCCTTCTTGCACAGAGACAATAAAGTTTCTCTGAGTTTGCATTCTTCCCATCAGCCTCACAAGGTTTCTGGAAGCCCAGCTCACTTGCCTTGAGTGAAGTAACTCTTAAATTTCACTCAAAAATTCCCCTATAGAGTTTATGCTGAAGCTACCCTCTTTTAGACTTCAGCAGAACACTTTCTTACTTAGATTCTTGTCCATTCCTGCCCTGCCCAACTCCCTTAGCAGTCTTTCTTGATAACATTTCTTTAGTAAATCACATGCACATAAATCCCTAATTCAGGGTCTGCTCCTAGGGAATCTAATGTAAGACACCACATCATATGTTTTCTGCCTTCCTTAGTCTTGTAGTATTAACTGCAAACTTTCTTGTCGAGAGAAAAAAATAAACCTATGCATGCTTAAGTTAGTGTTGTGTTTGCTGCTGAATGTGCTTTAAAGCAGACTTTACCCATAGAAGAGATAATGGTTAACACCTGCTTATTAAGACACTGATAAGAATTGCCTTGCATGTTGCAGGCACTCAGTGAATGTTAGCTTGGAAAGATAGGCAAACCTGATCGATATTAACTGAGAACATTTTTTCTCAGGTGCAATTAGAATATAGAAAGACACAGTCAAACCTCTCCATGACTTTAAGAGAAGTTACCTGTAAGAAATAAAGTAGGGGTGTGTGGGGGGAATCAAAATAGATGAGATATGACATGTGTAAAAATAATCCACCAAGTTCATAGGTGTTTACTTGATTATACTTCTTAACCTATAAATAAGTTATACATAGCCTTTCGCATCTGTCAAATGTTATAAATATAATATGATTTAATAGGAAAAATGAAAAAAAAATGACCCATATTCCTCCAAAAGGTCATTATATAATATAAAAATAGTCATGGGGATGTAAAGTACAGCATAGGGAATATAGTCAATAATATTCTAATAACTATGTATGGTGTCAGATGGGTACTAAACATACCAGGATGATCACTTAGTAAGGTATATAAATGCATAATCACTATGTTGTACACCTTAAACAACTATAATATTTTATGTCAACTCTAAAAATAAATTTTAAAAAATCATTGGATAAAAGTACAGATGTTCCAAGATATAGGAATGGGTTAACTAAAAACTTATGTAATAATTCATTACTATTCAATAGGTCAAAAAATAGAGAGAAATCAATGAAACCAAAAGCTGGGTATTAGATAAAAATCAATAAAATTGATAAACCTTTAGCCAGACTTGTCAGGAAAAAAAGAGATAATACAGGTTACCAATATTAATAATAAGAGAGTTTGCATAATTATAGATTCTAAAGATATTAAAAAGATTAAAAAGGGACTATTATGGACAATGCTTTGGAAATTTTAATGAAAATAGACAAATTCCTTGAAATGTACAAACTATCAAGAACTCACTCAAGAAAAAACACAATATGAATAGCCCTATATCCAGTTTTTAAAAAGTGAACTTGTTACTTAAAATCTTCTTATTAAAAAAAAACCCTCCAGTCTTTATTGGTGAATTCTCGTAAACACTTAAGGAAGAAACGATGTCAATTTTAAACAAATTCTATCAAAACATTGAAGAGAAGTGAATTCTATTGAGCTTATTCTGTGAGGCAAGAATTACACTGATATTAAAACCAAAGAAGTTACAAGAAAACTAAAGACCAAAAATTTCCTGAACATAGACATAAGAATTCTAAATAAAATTTTAGCAAATGTAACCCAACAAAGGATATATAATATGTATAAAGGATATATATATTAAAAGTATATAAAAATACATCATAATCAAGTGCAGTTTATCCCAGGAATACAAGATTGATCTAATATTCAAGAATCAATGTAATATAACATTTTAACAAACTAAAATAGAAAAACAATATTATCATCTCAATAGATGCAGAAACAGCAGTTGACAAATCTTACATCCATTCTTGATGAAAAAAAAATACTCAATAAACTAGGAATAGAAAGGAACTTCCTCAGCCAGATAAAGGGCATGGCCAAAAGCAAACTTACAGCTAACATCATAATTAACTGTGAAAGACAAATTAGAAAAGCTAAATAAGATCAAGAACAATAAAAGAATGTCTACTCTCACCACTTCTATCCAGCATTTTACCGGAGGTTCTAGTCATTGCAATACGGCAAGACAAAGAAATAAATAATCCAGATTGTAAAAGAAAAAATACAACTACCTTTATTTCAAAACGACATGATCATCTATGTAGAAAATCCAATAAAATCTACAAAGCTAATAAAACTAATAAATGAGTTTAGCGAGAATGCAGGATGCTACAAGATCAATGCACAAAAATTAATTGTGTTTCTATATAATAACAAAAGGCAATTGGAAGTTGAAATTTTTAAAACACCATTTATAATACAATTTAAAATTTTTTAATATTTACGGATAAATCTGACTAAAACGTGCAAGATCTCTACAAGGAAAACTACCAAACACAACTTAGAGAAATTAATTAACTAAATAAATGGAGAGACATACCTTGTTCTTGCGTCAGAAGACCCACTACGGTTAACATGTCCATATTCCCAAGTTTATATATACATTTGGTACAATCCCAATCAAAATCCCAAGCTGATTTTAAAATTTATATGGAAATGAAGAGGACTTAGAATAGCCAAAACAATTTTTTAAAAGTGCAGCACTAGAAGTCTCTCCTACTTGCTTTTAAAACTTACTATATAGCTATGTTCATGTAGTCAGTGAGGTATTTACATAAAGATAGACAAATACATCAGTGGAACAGTATAGAGTGCAGAAATAGATTCAATCATTTACTAACTATTTACAAAGGTGTAAAGGCAATTCAATGGAA